CAGCCCAGGCCGTCATCGCTGGGGATGGACTGGGCATCAGCCACGAGCTCATCACCCTGGAGGTCAGCTCCCCCGAGGTCCCGGACCTGACCCTCATCGACCTGCCCGGCATCACCAGGGTGGCCGTGGGGAACCAGCCCCAGGACATCGGGGAGCAGGTGAGCCCCGGCGCAGCCCAGCCCTGTGGCGGGCGACCGTGAGTTGTGGACACAGGTGTGGAGCGGGGCCCTCCCCACCCGGCTGGACGCAGCATCTGGAGCGATCGAGGCCAGCAGGGCAGACTGCGTCTGCGTTCAGTACCTACCGGCGGTGGGTTTGCACGGTGCCCCCGTGGCGGGCTACGCTGGCAGGGCCGGGCTGGGGTTTACGTGGCAAGAGGCAATTTCTACATCCACTGCCCTCTGGATCACAGATTTCAGGAAAAATCAAGTGATTCTGGCATCGTGGTTCCACCAAACCAGCGATGTCAGGTCCGAGGAGGCCGGGAGAGGCTGGAGCCTCAAGTGTCCCGACCCCGGGGTGCTGTGGCCCCTGCAGGGACCTTGGTTTCTCCGCACCCGGGCTTGGGCAGGGCCAGCAGGCAGGAGGCTGGGGCCGTCGCCGGGGCCGCCAGGGCCTCTGTGGCCAGGCCTGTCGCGCTCACTCGGTCTCCGCTCGCCTCCCCAGATCAAGGCCCTCATCAGGAAGTACATCCAGCGGCAGCAGACCATCAACCTGGTGGTGGTGCCCTGCAACGTGGACATCGCCACCACCGAGGCGCTGAGCATGGCGCGGGAGGTGGACCCCGACGGCGACCGGACCCTGGGTGAGCGGGCGACCCTCGGTGCGAGGGCGGTGCAGCGGCGCCCCTTGGCCCTCAGCGCACACCCAGGAGGCGGGTTTACTCCCAGGTCTGGACCTGAAAGGAGTGGGCGTGGGCCCAGGGAGGCTCAGTGAAGCAGGCCATGTCTTAGCTTCTGCCAGCCACGGAGCTCCTTACAGGGCACAGTGGTTCCGGGTGGGACAAGCCCAGAAAACAAGTCCATACCTTTGAGGTAGAAGTAAGCCCTGTGTCCAGGTGGGTGGATAGACTATGTGGGTCCGTTCACACCGTGGAATAGTATACAGCCCTGCAAAGGAAGAACACTGACGCCTGTCAAGGTCTGCGACCTCAGACTTGCTGAGTGAAGTGAGCCAGTCACAGAGGGTGACTGCTGCAGGGTCCTGCAAATGTGTCAAATCGTCAGAATCAAAGCACAGGGCTAGGGCCGGGGGAGGGCAGGGACCTACGGGGAGGGGCGTCCATCTCGGAGATGGAACGCTGTGGAGGGTCGGCAGCTTGGGAGCACGCTGGTGAGTGAGCTCGGGCCCCTGAGCTGGGCCCCCCGGCGTGTTGCAGTCGTAACTCTGATGTGAAAATCTGCACTCAGCTGTGAGCAGCAGGCAGGCTGAGGCTGGACGCAGGCAAAAGGCCGTTCACGTTCACGCGCTGCAAGACGTGTGGGTGGGGGCAGCCGGTGCCCGCGCCCTCAGACCTGCCCTTCCGCCTTCCGGCGCCCCACGGTGGCCTGCTGGGGCTCAGCGTTTGTGCTGTGGCCAGCCCGAGCCAGCAGACCCCAGGGCGTGCCTGGCCTCAGGGTCAGGGCTGAAGGGTGCAAGGTCCCGCAGCACCGTGTAGCGCAAGGCCCCTGTGCGGGGGCCCGCGCCTGGCCTGGGGCTCTGGTTTCACCTGGGCCCCACAGATGGTCCAGGTGAGCCGGGCGGGCCCTGCCTCTGCCAGGGGCCAGGCCCTGCTGGGCGGCTGTTTAGGGATGCCAGCTGCCCGGGGGCGCGGAGGGGCTGGACACCTGGTGGCTGCGCCGTGCTGGGCGCCTCGGTGGGGCCCCTGCCGGGCAGCACGAGCACCCGCGTGCAGGAGGAAAGCGGAAGGCACCCCAGGAGCTGTCTCGCCTGAGAGCGGGACTGCACGCCCGTAGGCGGGGGGCGGGCGTCTGGCCGCGCGCGCGGCTCCCCTGGCTCGGGGCGGCCCAGGCTCCGGGTGAGCAGGGAGGGCTCTGGTATCTGACGGAAGTCGCTGCTCGCAGGAATCCTGACCAAGCCCGACCTGGTGGACAGAGGCACGGAAGACAGGGTGGTGGACGTGATCCGCAACTTCATCTGCCCCCTGAAGAAGGGCTACATGATCGTCAAATGCCGGGGCCAGAAGGACATCCAGGACCGGTTGAGCCTGGCCCAGGCGCTGCAGAAGGAGCAGGCCTTCTTCGAGGAGCACCCCCACTTCAGGTGCGTAGGCTCCGTGGGGGGTGGGGTGCAGGGAACAGGAGCTGGAGGAGGGGCGGGCGCCCCGTGGGGGCCGTCTGGATGGCCCTCAGCTGGGGGCGGGGTGGGCCGGCCTCCGTGGCCTCCAGTGGCTCCCACAGCGCATTCTTGCTGCGGGCATTTGACCACAGGCGCAGGTGTGAGCGTTGCCCACCCAGGTGCGCACCTGGGGGAGGCGGAACTAGCCCGCGCAGCCTTCATCGTAAGGAGCCCTGAGAGGCCTCCCGGGAGCACCCGCACTGGGCCGGGGGGACGGGCCCTCGACGCGCGCGTCGCGGTGGCCGCCTGTCCAGGGGCAGCGTGTCCCCGCCAGTGTCTAGCATGCGAGTGTCCCGATGGTGCAGGTGCCAGGGCGGCGGGCCATGCCCGAGTCCCCCACAGGGCATGGGCTGTGGGTGATGGCTGTCTCGTCAGAAAGACCCTGCAGGCTGGTGTCCAGCGCTGGCGCCGTAGCCATGGCCGAGCTCCTCCCGGACCGTGATGGGGACTGGCCACGACCGCCCGCCAGTCACACGGCCCACGGCGCTGACGCCAGCTTCCTGGGCGTCAAGGTGGGCGTGGGCTTTGTGTTCCCCCACAGGCAGCTTCTGGAGGAAGGAAGGGCCTCCATCCCCAAGCTGGCCGACCGGCTGACCTCCGAGCTCATCAGGCACATCTCTGTAAGCCCAGCTGCCCTCCCAGGCGCCGCCCCACCCCAGCTGCCCCTGCCGGCGGCCTCCGCGTAGCCCGGCTTCTGCTAGGGGCGGGTGTGAGCGCCGGTGCCCCCACGGAGCTGCCCACAGAACAAGGCCACGGCTGGTGGGCCGCCAGGGCCACCCTCTGGGGTTTTCATTAAGATTTATTTCATTGGTTGATGCACACAAGAACTGGGGTGTGGGCCACAAGTGTGGGGGTGATGACTCACCAGACAGAGTGGGGAGCAGGGCAGGCGGATCCCCTGAAACCCGCTGCTGAGGGGGGCAGCGGGGAGACAGGAGGGTCTGCTGCACCCTGGGTCCCTCCAGGCCGGGGATGGAACTTGGGCTGCAGGGGCCGCAGCCAGCTGACAGCTGAGACTCCCCCTCCCAGCGCCCCCCCCGCCCCGGGAGGCCCCATTCCAGAGAGTTCTAAGAGACCCTGTCCCCACTCCGTCCGGACAGGGCTCCTGCTGTCACTTCTGCCCTTTACGCAGCTTCCTCGCACGGTTTCCTGTTGTGCCCCGGGAGGCAGAGACGGGAGGCCGGGGTAACCCCTGGGTGCCTCGCGCCAGCCTGCCTTGACTTCCCCATGTCCTCACTACCTGTAGCTTAAGGAGCTGCTGGTGCGGAGGACGGTGGGGGCTGGTGGTGGGTGGGGGTGATGCACCGCTGGAGGGCCGCGCCCTGCCTCTGGTCACTCGGTGTTGCCCACCAGTGCGGCTTGATGAAAGAGAACAAGCGGCCTCCCGGGGAGCAGGGGTGAGGCTCAGCGCTGGGACGCTGCGGCAGCCCCTGAGCACCAGTGCCACCCGGCCAGGAGGGGCCCCAGGGCGCAGCCGCCCCTCCGGCCACCCGCCGCCCCTCAGCCGTGGTCTCAGTGGACCGCCTGTCCTGCTCCCCGCCCTGTCCCCCACCTCTGGCCAGCACCCCAGTTCTTGTGTGCATCAATAAATTGTTGACAAAAAAAGAAAAGCAGCACATGAAATCAACCGGGCCACTGAAAAAAGCAACGAAAGAACAGAGGCGCCCTGGCACTGAGCGGGAAGCTGCGGAGGCTGCCGCGGTGGGAGAGGCCCCCGGGCCGCGAGCCCAGTCGCTTCTCGCAGCATGACGAGCTGAGCTTGCGTGTCCGGCGCCCCGCGCCAGCGGGTGACTCCCCGGCCTCCCGGCTCCCTGCTGGGAGCTAGGGGGCCCGGGGCGAGGGTGTCCCCCACGCTCCCCTGCGGGGCCAGGGGCGGCCAGGCTGCCGGGCAGGAAGGCTGGGGGAGCCGCTGGGCGCTCAGGTCCTGGCGGCGCGCGGGGCCTCCGCCCGCGCCAGCAGCCACGCGTCTGCATCGGCCGCCCGCATTTCTCCCTCTCTCTGCCCAGAAATCTCTGCCGCTGTTAGAGAGCCAGGTGAAGGAGAACCACCAGAACGTGAGCGCCGAGCTGCAGAAGTGCGGCACCGACATCCCCGAGGGGGAGAGCGAGAAGCTGTTCTTCCTGATAGACGTGAGTGCCGCCGCCGCGTGCGGCCGGTCCACCGTGCGGCGGCCTTCAGCCTGCGCTGACCGCCCCTTCTGGCTTTCAGCACCAGGAAGGGACGGGGCTGTGGGCGGGG